CGGCGCGATATGCGCTACCTGTAGGTAGGCCTAACAAGCGAGTTCATAGCGGGCTCCCGCGTTTTCGTAGATCGTTTTTGCCGTCCCGCAACAACCCTCTGCAACCCGCTGCGATACCCAGAACTCTACAGTTCTCGGTGTAGTGATGACACCACATTTTTCACTCGCGTGCCCCGCGGCGACGCCTACTTCCGTCCATGCTAGTGCGCATGCTCGGGGTTATCATCAGTTCGAGATAAGTGATAATAAAACACTTGGGTTCCGGACTCCGGTGTGGCTGGTCGCTCCTTCCCCGCGAGACAATGGGCGCGCAGGCGCAGTAGCGGCTTCTTCGTTGCAGAGGGCTTAACGGAGGGGGAAACGCGGTGTACGGAAACTCCCTAAGGAGTTTTCTTAGCGAAGGGGGAAACGCAGTCTACGAAAACTCCCTATTCGGGAGTTTTCGTAGATTGCGTTTCTCCCTTCGCTAAGTCCTCCGCAACGAAGAAGGTGCTACTGCGCCTGCACGCCGATGGCCTTGACTGTAGAGTTCCGGGTATCGTAACGGGTTGCGGAGAGCATTGCGGGACTGTAAAAACGATCTACGAAAACCAGGGGTGGAACTCATGAAATGTATTTGGGAGCAGCCACGGGAGCAGCTGAAACCGCTGTTTTGGAGCAGGTTGGGAGCAGTTAAAACTCCATTCTGGAGCAGGCTAAGAGCAGCCCAGATCAGTTTGCATTGCACTTCAGCTTGTGTCTTAGACGAGCACGGGAGTAATTTCAAATGTGCTTAGCAGCACAGATGAACATGAGTGTTTAGGGACCTAGGTAGATGGGATAACAGTGTAACAGACGCGAGAACTTGAAACTTTGGGAGCCTTAATGAGAACCAAAAAGCAAGTACCATATGTTTCTGAAGATGGCGTCCTTGATATTTTCTGAGTGGCTTTCAGTTGCTCGAAATGCAAACCAGCACTGCTTATCGCACAACTCAGACGGGCTGGGCATAGTAATTATATGTGCGAACCTCTTGGCGTGCGTAAGCAACGGACGTGCAGTTGCGTGGAGCAACAGGGCAACAAATTTCGAGTTTATCCTATTGTGCAACTCAATATCGAAGCAGCAGACTACGATTAACGTAGTTATCGTATTCAAAGCGATAAGCAGGAGCAAGGTTAATGTACGCAGAGCAGATATGCCACTGGCGTAAGAGCTGCTGGCCGGCAAGGTTTCGGATCGGACCGCGTTTCAGTTCTATCAAACCACAATTTATCTTGCGGGAATGCGTTTCCAACTTCTAACGATGAAGTACTAAAAGGAATCTTTTGCACATTTGTTTTCAACTGACTGACGTCCGGATCCCGGGCCGCACACCCTCAGGCTATCCGACGCTTAACGACTCGATCTCACCTCGGCCGACTTGCTTAACCGCTTATGGTTGAAGAATAACAATTAAGTCGCAGGCGAGTTTTTTCGCGTGCTTCCGACTCGGGATACAGAGGGAGAATAAGGAGAAGAAAGGATTGCAAGTCCGACCAAGCTAAACGCGCTCATTGTTGCCAATTGAGTCGATACATAATCCGAAACCAAGACAAAATACAATTCCTTTTTTTTTTGGCGCACGTTGTGCGATTTAGTGCATAATGGCGCAAGGTATTGGCTGTGGCGCAGTTTCCGCAAAATGGCGCAGGATGGCGCAGACAAATGCGTCTGGCGCAAAATGGCGCAAATGGCGCAGCCGTTCCACCCCTGGAAAACTCTCTATTAGGGAGTTTTCGTAGACCGCGTTGCCCCCTCCGCTAAGCGTTCCACAACGAAGTTGCTACTGCGCCTGCGTGCCCATGGCCTTGACTGTGGAGTTCCCGCTATGGTAGCGGGTTGCGGAGGGCCTTGCGGGACGGCGAAAACGATCTACGAAAACTCCCTATTGTCTGCGATATTTGTTCCCAAGTTTTTAGCGGATTCCCGTGTTTTTGTCCGCGATATCGATTCCTACTTGTACGATTCTGCTGCGTCCGCGATCTGCTTGATTTGTTTCCGTGACATGCGAGTTTGTTGCGAATTCCCCGTTTATTGCACCACGAAACTTGAATCTGCTGCGCCCGCGATATCCATTCCCGTAAGTTGACGTAGTTGACCCTCCCAGGGACAGTGTCCCCTTAAAGGGATACTTCAACGAAATTTGAAATATGCACAATATCCGTAAATGACAATCGCACGTTTGTATTTTCAGCCTGATAGCTGGCTATATTTTTCGTTATAAACGGCCCACTCTGACAAGCGCTCGGACAGCAGCCAGCGGAGACCACAGGACATCCTACGCAATCGTGACGTAGTGCGTCTCGGGACGAGCAAAGCTACGGCGAGGCTGACGTCAAGAGGATGGCCTAGTCTTTCCAGCCACCGAAGCGACGGCTTTTGTACGAATTTTGAGTGACGGGTTAATCTTCTATAATCTTGTAGAGGGACAATAGCGACTTCTGGGTCACACAAAAAAGACTTTCGGGAAGAGGAGAGTTGCTTTTTCCCCCTCTTCTCTCGTCGTGGCCGGAGGCGACAGTTACAGTCACCACCTCTCAAGGTTCCTAGACGGGTATTACAAACGAGGCGTTAGCGACATCCACCAGGTGCTTTTTGCTAATTGTTTTCAAATTCCTTTTTGTGAATTTTTTTAGCAAGATATTGGTGTGTTCGATGTGATACTGCTCCTTTGAACACATATAGACCAAAAAATGAGGGCTGAAATTTCGTTGCAGTATCCCTTTAAAGGGGTGCCAAAACGAAATTCCAGCGCTCATTTTTTAGCTTTAATGCGTTGCATGTTGCAGCATAACCTCATAAATACCAGTCTTTCGTTGAAAGACACGAGAACACTAATTTTAAAGCTAATTAAACGATCTTTCAATGTGCACCTGGTGTATGTATGTGGAACCTATTTGGGAGGTCATCTAGCAATGTTGGGGAACTTGCTACATAGTCATGATGTGCAAAGTTCCATCGGAGCAGCGCCGCTCTTTGGAATTCAACATTTTCCCTCATAGCTTTCCTCCTGAACCCACAAATCGCGCATTGTACCAAACAGTTCAAGAACTGACCCTCATTTGTGTACCTAGACACAGCCATTCTCCCCCTAGAAGATTAGCCCGTCGCTCGAAATTTGGACAAAAGTTGCTTTTCCCACCCCGTTCACCCTTAAAGGGGGACACTACCCCCCCCCCCCCCCCAAAAAAAAAAAAAAAAAACGATTTTTCGAACCACTTGCCCTATTTAAATTATATTTACAGGGCTTGTGTCTGGTGATGTTGAGAACATTTCTGCCAAAGTTTGTTAACCTGGGTGAAGTACAAAAAAAACTGCAAATATTCAAAGATGAAAGTGGGCGTTGCCTGCGTAGGAAAACTATTGTTTTGAAATTACTTATAAATTTTTCGTTTTCATGTGCTATATTGCATTAAGACAGTTCAGAGCAGATAACTATGGGGCTACATTTCTATATTATAGCATCTTTCATGACAAAGATTACCAGATAAACACAAATAGTTTTTTAGATTTCCATCCTTTGTCTAAATTTTTTTTTGAGCATGAAAAATGACAATAATAATAAATACAAGCTCATACTTATCTTCCCCTTAAAGTTTAACGCCGGAAAAACTCATAAAAATGAATCTAAGTTATGTAATAACAAAACGATAGTTTTCCTAATGGTACGTTTACACTTGCGGATCCGCCAGCGAATCCGCCCAGCTTTTGCCGCTGGGGCTAAACGCTGGGCGGAAAACGCGGCGGCGAGGTCCGGGATCTATTTCTGCCGCCGAGCGAGACGTTTCGCTGACCGGAAGTGGCATTCTTGTGCAGCGCGACGCTGCCTACGTCATGAGTAGGCGTGCTTCCGGGTGCTGCACCGCCCGGGATTGGCCGGGAGACAGTCGAGGTGGAAACTCTCGCGCCTCCTTGTCATAATTGACGGGATGTTACGAGAACAGCTGCCGCAGCCGGCGCCGCCGCCGCCGCTCGAAGGAAATAGATGTAAACGCAACCCGCTCGTCGCCGCCACCGCCGGGAGCGGATCCGCTCCCGCGGCAGCGGATCTCTTCTCAGGTGTAAACGTACCATAAAGTGAAATTTATGCCAGAAAGTGGAATGGAGAAAAATATGTTTAAAGTGCTCCAACCTCTACCTTTTCTTTAGCGTTGGAGGACCAAAAATAATTTATAAAAAATTAACTATGCAGTACAATCTAATGAAACTTTCTGGGAATACCCTCTAGATGTTGGTTGATGTAAATATGACATTTTTCAAAATGAATGTTTTTTTGCAGAAATTGTTCTTTCTGGGTAGTGTTCCCTCTTAAGCTGACAGTGATGTGGAAACTTCGTGCTCCTTGGGCCAGCCACACGCTCGTCACCCCACGGGTACTTCGAACAGCTTGATTGTTCGAAGATTGACATCACCACAACGCTGACAACGCCACCAACGGGAAAGCTCATAACCATGCCAGCCTTGCTACGTTACGAATGTGGGGAACCTTTGTTTTCGTTTGCGCGGGATATCCCATGACGCATCACGCTCTCCGTTTGCTTCTCTTCAAGCGCTTGCTCGAGTGTACCACTTGGAAGGAAAAATATAGCCAGTCGTTCAAAACACAAACGTGCGATTATCATTTGCGGTTATTATCCGTCATGCTTGACTCATTTTCGAACGAAATTTGAATATTTCAATTTTCGTTTCCGTACTCTTTTCTTTGAGATTTTTATATGCAACGTTGCTTATCCAGCAAAGTAACCCATTTAACAGTAGTTGAATTGCATGCTGTGTCCAGCTTCTTACTGTACAAGACTAAAAGTTGCAACCAGAATCACACCATGCGAAATGGGATCTATAGTAAAACCCACATCTCATTTGCAAAATTAGAAGAATAAGAAAAACAAGGAGAGAGGGAAACACTCCCTGCTGTCACCACCATTTCTGTCATATAATGCTTCAAGCAAAAATAAAAAACAAGCCAGCAATTTTTTCTCTTTTTTTTTTAAAAGGCTCTTTAATAGAGGAATAAAAATAAATGAGTAAGTACACTGTTGTCGTAAACCACGTAGCTTCCGACAGTGACAGTGTTGTGCGGTACGTACAGTGATAAAAAAAATATTTCTTCTCAAAGCACTGTGGTTGGCAAGGACCATGACTTCACACCCGTGTCCTCCTGCAAAACAACGAAAACCAAAGTAGGGACTGAGCAAGCTTGTTGCAAGAATAAAGTTTTGCAAGAATAAAGTTCTGAGAAGCAAATGGTGCAATTGCAGAAACCATCGTTTCTATACTTCCTGTACCTTTTGGTGCTGCAGAGCGTCTACCATATAAAATCTATGAACAGAAGCTTATGATTTTTGACAGATGACTTGATTTGTGTGTGTGTAGTGAAAAAGGGTGACTTCAGAAAGATGAGAGCTAAATCTCAGCTCTTGGGAAACTGCAAGTGGATTGCACTTAACCGGACACTTAAACAGAATATAACAGGTGCTCATTCAGCGTGTGGGCGTCCCAGTTTTTTGACAGTAGCCAATGGTTTGACAAATTTTTTTTCCAGGACTGACACCAGCCTGAAAGGTTGTTCATTATAACGAGACAAAAATGCACATAAATTTACCCAGATCATCACAAGGAATCTTGTTGATGTACAGGAAGTATTCACCGACGGCCATAACTGTGTGCGCACACTGACGGTGAGCTTCCGCAGTTTTTTTGCAACGGGCCTTCCACACCATTAAGATCACAATCACAATCTTAGCAGGCTATTAACGTGAGCATGTTCTGAACATGCGCTCTAAGCATTGCCTTCAAATATGGCATCCAGTGAATGCCCCCATAGTAGAGTATTTATCGCTACTGAAATAATTTGACTTGCCAAAACGTTTTATCACTGAGCATAAAAAAAAAAATAAGTTTTAAAAACTGCAGTTAAGGGAACACTTATAACCTCAGGTTCAAGAGACATTACAGCATGGAAATGTCTCGCCAAAGGGCAGCTGTGCAGTCATTTGTGATACCGTTAAAGCTTTACGAAATGCAAGAATAAAATAACTTCTTTCTTAGCAAATAAAACAAAAAAAATTTTGCTGTCAAGAAAAGCCAGCTGAAAATATACCAAGAAAGAGAGGTTTCAAAATATACATACTTAATAACGGATGGCAGGGGGTGTCCTTCAATTGAAACAGAGCACTGAAAACGTAAAGAAATAAATGGTACCATGAACAAAGGTCAAAGAATAAGAGAGAAAGAGAGAGGGGAAGCAACGTTCACTCACGCGAGCTTCAACAGTATCCAAATCGTCGTCTTCAGCGGGCCCCTGACGACTGCTGCTCCGCTTCCTGCGAGTGGACAGGAATGACAACGAATGTGTGCACACGTTTCATTCAAGGACACTAGGATAAATGCTTACATATCAGCGAAACAACCTGAAACAGGTTAAAGATTTATAAACAGTTTGTGAAAATTGTGTTAACACACCTGCAAGCAAAGTATAGAAGCATATGAAGGAAGATTTTAAATAAAATTGAGCAGTTAATTCGCAGTACAGACACAGCAATAAATGTGACACGTTACGGCAAAGTCGTTGGGCATCGGCATCGTGTTCAGAACAAGACACCTCACCATTTCGTTCTGAAAGCTTTTGTTCCTTTTTCGTTCTGAAGCGCGTGAAAGCGCGTCTCCCGGCACGAGCTCTTGGCAGTGACAGCGCAACAATGGCATTTTGTAATCGGCCTTTTTTTTTCTAGAGCGCACGTACAGTACAGTAGGCGTTGTATACTACAAAGAAAAACCCAAGTATAAGGCAGGCTGTTAATGCTGTGGTGTAGGTCTGATATAACGCCTTAGTTTCGCAAGCAGCGAACCCAGGTTCGATTCCCATGGGCGGCGAGCAATCTTTTTTAAGTAACATCGACAACGGACGCCCTACTACGCACATCGTCATCAACGACTACGAAAACAACTACAACACCAACAACGGACGTCATTTTCACTGGTGGGAAGAGCCCACAACGCCTATCACTGTAAAATATATATATATATATATATATATATACTATGGTCCGTTGCAACTCAAGAAGGTAGGGCGAGGGAAAGGAAGGGGAAGAGGTTTCCGCCTCTCCTCTCAAGCGTTCCGTCTGCTTCCTTTTCCCCGGCCTTCCTTTCCCTCGCCTTCCCTTTTTGAGTTGCAACGGACTATATAAGTGCTTCCTTGAATATTGTGCATCACACAAACACCACACATATTGTTTAAAAGTTGTTCAGCTCTTTAAACCTGAGCCTACATTGTGACATGGCAATGATGAATGGATCTAATGGATGTGAGGCTTCATTTGCAACGGTGGGTATACTTTATTGGTAGAGAAGTGCAAATATCAAACCTATGACTTCGAATTCAACTTTCAATATTAAAAACTGGCAGCAAATTAAATTAATTATACTAGTGTAGGGTGCAACGCACCCACAGATCCATTCTTCTCATGAAAATAAAAGAGATGGCTCGAAGCGCAGCACGCGCACGCGCCTCGGAGGGCGCGTGCAAGAGAATGCTCTGAAGCCGCCATCACAGGCAGACACGTCGTTCGCTTGTCTTGTTCTATGTCCTCACTTTAAATAACGTGGCAGAGCCTCGCGGCCCCCCCCCCCCCCCCCCCACACATATTTGGTGACCCGGTCGAGGACCATGGACAACGGCGAACCCCAAGGAGCAGCAGCCGGATCCCCGGCTCCCATCTCGTCGGTTGCAGTCCGACTTCCGCCATACTATGACAGAAACCCGATGGTCTGGTTCCTCCAGGCTGAGTCTCAGTTTCATCTCGGCGGTGTGACGAGCCAGGAGAGCAAGTATCATCATGTCGTCTCGGCGCTGTCGCTGGCAGCAGCCAACGAAGTATACGACATCCTTGCGCAACCCTCGGCCACAGCTTCCTACGACGAGCTGAAGGCGGCTCTCCTGCAGAGAACCGAGGCATCAGATCGCTCCCGCCTTCAAGAACTTCTTTCGGCGGAAGAACTCGGCGATCGACGTCAGTCTCAGCTGCTAAGGCGGATGACTCAGCTCCTTGGAGATCGCGCCAACACAATCGGCAACGCTCTGCTGCGGGAGCTATTTATTCAGCGCCTCCCAACCAACGTCCAGATGGTGTTGGCCACCGCTACGGCTCTCGACCTCACAGGCCTTGCAGCCTTGGCAGACGCCGTTATTGAAGTTGCCACTCCACCCGTCGCCAGCGTTACATCAGCAGCAGAAGACGGAAGTGAAGCTATGCCTGCCCCGCCAGGCACTCCATCGTTTGACGGCAACATCGAGCGGCTTTGCCAGCGGTTAGAAGAGAGTGTTACCGCGGCAACTCACCGGCGAGATCGTCCACGCACTCAACAACAACGTGGACGTTCAACATCTCGTTGCAGAAATGCTGACCGTTCCCGCTTCGCAAGTTCAGCGGACGTCTGCGTATACCATCGTCGCTTTGGCTCCGACGCCCGGCACTGCCCTCGTCCCTGCTCCTGGAGCAAACCGATAGAGGCAACGAGTAGTCAGAACCTACCAGGAAGTCGCCTATTTTACATCGCCGACAGGACTACGGGAATTCGTTATCTCGTCGATACCTGGGCCGAGGTAAGCGCTGTTCCTGCAAAACGCGCGGATCGATCACAGACGCCCATCTACTACCTTCGGGCTGTGAACAACTCGTCGATCCCCGTCTACAAGGAACGGTCCATCACCATAAATCTTGGCCTCAGACGAGTCTACCAATGGGTATTCCTGGTCGCAGACGTAGGCAACGCGATCATCGGCGATGACTTCCTGCAACACCATAGCCTCCTTTGTAGACGTCAAGGAGAGACGTCTGCTCGACTCCACAACGCGACTCTCCGTGCAAGGCGTCTCAACAACTGACACCGCAGGATTCGCGTCAGTCTGCTCTAACATCGACGGGCCATTCCAACCTCCTCTCCAGGATTTTCCAAGCCTCACGCGAGCTCCTGACTGGACCAGACCGGTTTCGCACGATGTCCACCATCACATCGAAACAACGGGCGCACCGGTCCACTTCCGACCCCGTCGTCTGGCTCCAGAGAAACTCCGCATCGCTCGTGAAGAATTTGAGCACATGCTCGAGCTTGGAATTATCCGACCTTCGTCAAGCAGCTGGGCGTCTCCCCTACACATGGTGTCCAAGAAGAACGGAGATTGGAGACCGTGTGGCGACTATCGCACACTGAACAAGAGCACAGTGCCCGATAGATACCCCCTCCCAAACATTCAGGACTTTACTGTCAACCTCTAAGGCGCGACCATTTTTTCGAAGGTTGACCTTACCCGCGCGTACCACCAGATCCCCGTCGCTGACGAAGATATCCCAAAGACAGCTATTACAACTCCGTTTGGTCTGTTTGAGTTTCTCCGCATGCCCTTTGGCCTCAGTAATGCGGCTCAAACATTTCAGAGATTCATCGACGCTGTCACGCGCGGGCTTCCCTTCGTATTTGCCTACGTTGACGACTTGTTGGTCGCTAGCTCGACAACGGAGGAGCACACCAACCACCTCCGTCTTCTTTTCCAAAGACTCTCAGACCACGGCATCATCATCAACGCCGCAAAAAGTGAGTTTGGGAGATCAGAACTCGAGTTTCTGGGACATCGACTGGACCGACACGGCATCAGACCTTTGCCGTCGAAAGTGCAAGTGATCAGGGACTTTCCAAGACCTAGCTCGATCACAAAGCTTCGCCAGTTCCTCGGCCTGGTAAATGTTTACCGCCGGTTCATTCCGAACTGCGCGAGGCTACTCCAGCCTCTTGATTTTCTACTAGCCAAGACTGCACGTGCCACTACCAACCTGCCTTGGAGTGAAGACGCGGAGCAAGCCTTCTGCGAAGTAAAGACTGTACTTACAGACGCTGTACTTCTGCGACATCCACAACACGATGCCAGAACCTCGATCATGACAGAAGCTTCAGCTACGGCTGTTGGGGCGGTCCTACAACAACAGGTGGACGGTGAATGGCAGCCCCTAGCTTTCTTTTCCAAGAAGTTAAAGCCCGCCCAGACCCGCTACAGCGTCTTTGGAAGAGAACTGCTCGCAGCGTACTTGGCCGTCCGGCACTTTCGACACTTTGTCGAAGGCCGCCCCTTCGTCATCTGGACGGACCATAAACCACTCACCTACGCCATCTGCAACTCAAGCTCTGTCTATACCCCTCGAGAGATCCGCCAGCTGGCCTTCTTGTCGGAGTTTACAACAGACATTCGGCATATCAAAGGGAAATCAAACATCCCCGCTGATGTACTGAGCCGAATCGACGCCGTACTTTCGCCTGCTCCGCAACTCGACATCACGTTGCTGGCTCGTCATCAGGCATCCGACGAGGAGCTACAGCAGCTCCGCACATCAAACAACTCTCTCCAGCTAGAGGATGTTGAGTTCCCAGGAGGCATCACCATCGTCTGCAACACGTCCACAGAAACGCATCGCCCATTCGTTCCGACGGCGCTACGAAGGCCGCTTTTTGATGCCATTCATTCGTTGTCGCATCCCGGCGTGAAGGCAACACAGAAGCTAGTGGCCAATCGCTACGTTTGGCCTCGGCTGAAGTCCGACGTGCGTGACTGGGTGCAGACCTGCTTGGCATGTCAACGAGCCAAGGTTCACCGTCATTCCGTGCCTTCATCCACGAGCTTCCTGCCAAGAGATGCCCGTTTCGACAAGGTCCACATCGACCTGGTCGGGCCCCTTCCGACATCTCAAGGGCAACGATACATCCTGACCTGTATCGACCGCTTCACAAGGTGGCCGGAAGCTACACCATTGCCCGACATGACTGCAGCCACTGTCGCCGAGGCATTTGTCTCGTCCTGGGTGGCGCGCTTCGGATGCCCATCTGAAATCGTCACCGACAGAGGGCGTCAATTCGAATCCAACTTGTTCACCGAGTTGTCCCGAATCCTAGGCATGACGAGATCTCGGACAACTGCATACCATCCGCAGTCTAACGGCCTGGTGGGACGTTTCCACTGACACCTCAAGTCCGTGCTCATGGCCCACGCGATCTCCAAGGAATGGGTACAACAGCTTCCACTCGTCTTACTCGGAGTTCGAACGGCGTTGAAGCAGGACCTCGGCTGTGCAACCTCTGAACTCGTCTATGGGACGACCCTCCGATTACGTTCGGACTTTTTCGAGGTCGACCCGTCTCCAAACACGAGACCAGAAGACTACGCCACAAAGCTGAAGGAGGTTTTTGCAGTTTTACGACCAGTTCCGACGCGCGCGGTATCTGCCAAGACTCCTTACGTCTCTCAGGACTTGTACAGTGCAACGCATGTGTTCGTGCGCCAAACAGCCAGACGAAAACCGCTCCAACCACACTATATGGGACCGTTCCCGGTTCTGGAAAAGAAGCCAAGTGGCTTCGTTGTACAGATCAATGGACGATGAGACACCATCGCTCTTGAGTGTCTAAAGCCAGCCCATCTCGAGCAAGCACCCGTGAACCTCATCACATGTGAGACGCGCGAGGAAAGTCCGAAGTCTCGCAGGAAGTCTGCTCAAGTTCATTGGACAAACTCATGGCCAGAGCTAGCGCCCTAATTGTGTGTTGTCGTTGTTCTTTTCGTTTTCTTTAATCGCTCGTTGGGGCTCCTCGCTAAGGGAGGGCATACCTGTAGGGTGCAACGCACCCACAGATCCATTCTTCTCATGAAAATAAAAGAGATGGCTCGAGGTGCAGCACGCGCACGCGCCTCGGAGGGCGCGTGCAAGAGAATGCTCTGAAGCCGCCATCACAGGCAGATGTCGTTCGCTTGTCTCGTTCTATGTCCTCACTTTAAATAACGTGGCAGGGCTTTGCGGCCCCCCCCCCCCACACTAGGCATTGTTTTTACATGACTTTCATTTGAGTGTGGATTCTTATTTAAATCAGAGCTGATATTCTTTAGTAAACATACTTTTGAAAAGAGGCCAATTTATTATCTGGGAAAGATTCCAGACAATTATGTGGAATAAAAAGAAAATCTCTAATAAAACCAGTTAACTAAAATGTGACATTACAAGCTAAATTCTTTAACCTTGCCTTGAAGAAACGAGAGTTCCCCTAAATTTTTTAAAAGCAGAGATGCTCTTCTGCACGTCACAATTCCTCCGGAAACAGAAAGAGGTGCTCATTACACTCCAGAGCCAATTCATAGCCCGAGGGAAGTCACGTGTCCTTCTGGTTGGGCACAAAAACGTGCAGAACAGGATGTCATGTGGGTTGTGCGGAACGCTGGATTGGTTAAGATGGCTCAAGGCATCTGTTCCTGAGCCCCGTGAAATGAAATGAAGAACAGATGCGTTATTAGTGCGTGGTCATGGCCAGGTAGCTTCCTTCGAGCTGAGCTCACGGCGGTTAACTCTTGGCACTCTCCATCGAGCCACTACGGAAAGGATCCCCCTTTTATTTCAGATATCTCATACATATTGCATGCATAGCTGCCAACCTGTGGACTTTCAAATTCGTAAAAGTCCCGCGGCTGCGCCGGAGGGGGGGGGGTTACGCGAAGCGATGTGCAGCTTAATATCAGCCTGGCCAGCGTGCGAAACGCTTACATCACACGTGCATGTGCTACACAATTCACACTTCTCTCGCTTTTTGGGCGGCACGAAGCACGGAAATTTCGACGTTTAGGACTTCAGGAACACCTGAAAGAACCTCTTTTGAGGTTTGGAGTTCGGCATTGTGCCGCGAAGCCACAGTGACCAGGAGAATGCTACAGTTACACGTGCAACAAACACAGACGCCGTACTTCTCGCCTTGAAACTGGCCGAAACAACGAGGCCCAACAACGTCTGAACACGCCAAACCAACGTGCACCCGTGCACCGCCGAACACACGAACAAAGGCTTTGAGCTTTGGATTGGTTTTCGATCCGTGGCCACCGGATAGACGGATACTAAAAACCACGATGCTGCTGTGGATGGTACCTATCGCCCTCTTGTGGCGGTGCAAAATACCGCCAACAACAAAGTTACAAAAACAAAAAAAAAAAATGTTTTTTTCGTAAGATTTGTAAAATTGTAAAATTAGTCAAAATTCGTACATTTTACGAAAAATTCGGAAGAGTTGGCAGGTATGTGCATGTCACCTCTCTTTGAGCTTGCTGTACCGAATATATCTGTTCTCCAGTTAGTAACCTCAACTGAAACAGACAAAACACGGGGATAGACGTAAGACCAAAAGTCTGTTGCTTTATCAGCCCGTTGAACTATCCCTTTCAAGTTACTAATGAGTGTATGTGACGTTCCCACTTACACACACTCTAATCAGACTGACAAAATTTTGCCACAGACACAACACTGACCTGGACAGAGATTTTGAGGAACTCTCAGGTCTTATGTCAAAAAGCAGCGAATTGTGTAAAGAGTTTCGAGTGACACTCACGCTTTAAGAATGACAGAACATCACAGGAACACTGAGAGAGGTCGGAGAAGACGCTCTACCTCTTTGACTTCCAGCAATGTTGTGCCATTCCTGAAGCACGAGTGACACTAAAAACACTCTGCACAATTCACTGCTTTGACATATGCCTGCAGAATCGTTTTCAAAGGTCTTGTTTTTGCTCTTGTTTGCAGTCTATGGTGAAATTGCCATTGTGCATGTGATCAGAAAAACATGTGTAGCGCAGCTCCAAATGTTCACAAAACAATGCCCTTTGGCATAATGAGACATGGAAGGTCCTGCCTTCTATAGCTGTGCGTGCATCACCGTGCTGCCCTCTTTCTCTATGCTACAAATAAGTCTCAAAACTTTTTGATCTCATTTCTTATACTCTTGCATAACTGCGGCGAGTTAGCCTCATTGAATGCGCTTCTCACCGAGCACTTGTGCACTGCGGGGAAGCAATAACTACAGAGCACACAAGCTCTGCGGGTATTGCTTCCCCGCACTGGAGGAGTGCCAGTGAAGAGTGCACTCACAGGGGCTGACCCCACATTTAGAAAAGTATGAATATTGCAGCTTATCTCGAAGCAAATATTGAATAGTGTATTATTCGAAACTGCTATCCAAAAATTTGAATATTTGTGCAACACTACTGATTTAAGTAAGTTTTCATTAAACTCCTTGAACTACCTAAAAGCTTTAATTTACAAGCAGTTAGCATAAACTGATCTACCCGGTTTATGCTACCAGTTAAGTTGACCCTTGGAGCAATACTACCTAAGTTGTTTTCTTCAATGCTAAAAAGTTAGAGAATGAATGGCAACAGCAGTCACGCCCAGAACAGTTTTTTTTCCCTTTTGGATAAAACAAAAACAAGAAAACCCACAAGCTTGACTATAGTAAAGTTCATATTTTCTTTGAAATCCTGTCTTTTTGCACTGCGTCAGACTGGGTGAGCCACCCAGTCTGACGCAGTGCAGTTCTCAGGAAGTGTAAAGTAGGCAAAAAAAGAAACAGAAAAGGGGCTCACCTCAGCCGGGACGAAGTCGGCGACAGCTGCTTGAGGGTCTCGACATCATTGAAGACGACCTGAGCACCTCCGCCTACAGAAGGGATCACATCCCCCTGAAAAGACAAGCAGTCACGGCGATGCCTTATTACCAGCGCTCTTCGATTCAGTGATACTCGTTCTGTCGACTAATTTTGCAAGGGTTGGGCTGAAATGCTCAAAAATGTATTTGGAAATGTACAAGTACTGGCATACAAGAAAATAGTAGCTAAAATACTGATACTAAAACACATCTGTAAAAATTTATCACAATATGTATTGGAGACACACTTCAAAAAGGGGCAAAAACTCTTCAGAAATACAAATACGACAATACATTTTAGGGAGGGCAGAAATACAAATACTGAAATACTAATACAGTAAAACCTCGTTATAACAAAATGGGATATAACAAACTAATGAATATAACAAAGCAACCCTTGCTTGCTAATGGTGGGAAGAAATGGACATTGGCTATAACAAACTAATGGTTATAACGAAATAATTACGACCGCTCCTTCAACTTTGTTATAACGAGGTTTTACTGTACTGCAATACATTTTTCAAATTTGTTTGAGATGCCAACTGAGATGTAGCTTGAAGTGAAAGTTTTTGGTCCCAAAATTACTTTCCCGCAGGCTTGGCACTTTGCCTTGAAGCAGCAGAGGAGTCATCAACGGGCTCCCCTAAAACATTTCATCAAGGATTGACTGCAGTTCCTTCCCTGACATCCTGTGCGTCTGACGAGGGATGCGAAAAGACTTAGACCTCTAAATAAATTTTATGTCACCCTAAATCCCATCAAAACGTCACCACGCCCCTGTCAACAGTGATCACATAACGTCATGGTGAAATGAACTGATATTCTGGTATCTGTAGGTGTGACCTCGAACATGAAACTTTACCCACACTGCTGCGTGAAAGGACAACACACAATTTTGTTGTTGGTGACCTCATTGAAGATCGTGCAGGCAGTTGCGTTTGGAATTTTCGAGAATTGTGGACAACCTGAAGCATTCTGAAACACGTTTTATCTCTTCTTTTAGGTTGAAAAAAAACGACACGGTTGCATTGCTGTTATGATGGTCCTTAATTCCTGACGACAATGACACATGAATGGCAGTCCTCAAGTTTCACCTAGCGTTATCCAAACAGAGGACCTCGTGGAGTGCGACCTGAGATTGCCGGCACAGGTGCAAGCTCTCCGAGAAACAGTGCGCTTGAGATAAGTCGCAAGTCTATGAAGTCCGAGTCTGCACAGCAAGGCCACATCTGGCCTTTTTCTAGGGCATCGGATCACCAGAGCAGCGGGTCACATTCACGTCAACTGATGAAGTGCCCTTGAGCCGTGCAATATTAGGGGCGTAGACTCATTCGGAGAATTTCACTGCGTGAGTCATCCTACTATTTCAAGTCGACCACCGCCAGACTCGTGCTGCAACGGACTATGACTGAGCTTTGCCGGATGGGTGTACTGTGAATGCCAAGGCAAGAGCGACGGTTAGCAGCCGGCATTGGCTGCCAGCAAACAATGACTCATGAAATCCTTACCAAGGAACCTGCGGCAGAAGATGCTAAGACTCCGTTCCTGTCACTCTACCTGGTTCGAGTCCCTAACTATGCAACACTTCTCAGAGGAGAGAAGAGGATGCACAGAAAAACAGTTTGAAGAATTGGAAGGAACTTTGGTCAGCATAGTAACAACGCCCCAGCACCTCCTCGACCCTACAACCCTCACACACGAAAAAAAAAAAAAGACGAAAGCTTAGATTTTTTTTTGAAGGGAAGGGGGGGGGGGGGAGGGTATTTTTGAAGAAAGAAAACAAAATAAATTTCACTCTGATTGTATCGCGATACAAAGGAACATTACAAATGTATCTTGATGCAGGAATACAAATACTAGAGAAAAAAATGTATTGCAATACAGAACTATAGATACAAAATGTTTTTCTGAAATACTACTGCAATACTGCCCAACCTTGCTACAGAGGCATATAAAAACAAGTATGACACAATGATATTTGCACGCAAAACCACTGAGACAGAAGCCTCTTTGTTGCGATATTTGGAAGAGAAGCGGACTAGTTCTTTTCAATCCTTCTTCGCAATGCCTGCTGACACAGTTGTGAGGCTCGTCCAAGAGTGACGAAAGTAGAACGCAGCTCATAAACTGGACATGAGCAGTGCACACGGACTAGACTCGCTCGATTAAAATTAAACAACTTGGCTGACAATTGGTTTCATGATGAGTGTCTAATTGCTGCAGTAAAGGAACTAACCAAAGTCTGACTATGTCCGGAACACAGTGCACGGTCCGTGCATTGCCAACAATTGAGCTCACGGCTATGGTGAACGTCGGCAGCCTGTAAGCAACAAGATACAGTCTAGACCGCATATAACATATGTCGCGGGAGTTGCGGAAATCCGCACTATAGGCGGTACCGCGCTATAACCAAAACATCAATTTTTCAGGCCAAAATACATGCCATGAGACAACTTACCTTTGTAAAACAATTTATTTTATGTTAGATGAAAAATAAAGCTTAGTTTGAGGAAAGTCTATTTCACCAGACTAGTACACTTCTCTTTCAAGTGTGTCACAGATTTTGAAAGAAATGAGCGACTTTCGCCTGGCGCAGCCTTTTAACGGCGTCGCGGGTTGCGGACGGACATTGCGAGCGTCAGGATTGCTAACCCTAATCACTTTTCTCCGGTGATGAAAACGCGTGAAAATTCGCATCCTTTATACGGTACGCGCCAGCAATACCTTCAACTTATGCACAGGCATGAAATGCTCCAAATAAGAAATACGGGCGATGTTCAAAAACACAAATGCTTAGAAAGCACCACCGTAGTCGAAGTAAACAAACACGATGACACGGGCGTTTCTGCCATCTTGAGAGTGCTGCCACGACATCGCCGCACGAGTAGGTGGATCTTCCCTTCTAGTACGTGTTGGGTTATCATAGCGACACACAACGAAAATTCACAGCCAAGGATAGCGCTTTTACGTGGAACGATGAGCTTCCACCACGCTGTCTACGTCGACGATCACAACCGACGCCATGTTTGCCGATAGAAGAAGCCGGCCTGCGACCGGCATGCAACGCGCGCGAACACTTCTCTTCGACCTGCGATTGGTCTGTCGCTGCGGTTGTTGCCAACGCAGCGGAGGGACGCACGCACGTGAACGACACGTGCGTGCATCCCTCCGTCGCTATGGCAACTGAAGCCTCTCTCTTAGCTTCTCCCCGCTTCTTCGAGCAACCTCCTTGCCCCGCGAGTGCCGCTTGCGGCTAGCGCCGCTATCTAGTGTCGCACAGGGAAGCGTGCTTGCTGCGCAGGTCAGTCGGCGGGCTGTTCCAGAAACCGCACTAAAACCGGTCTTTCCCTTCACGCGCCTGCATTTTAAGCGGTATGTAATTACATGGAGTTCTATGGGAGGCGAACCGGTGGTTTAAAAAAGCCGCGTTATACCCGGTCCTGCACTATAAACGGTTACATTGTAAGTGGTCTATACTGTAGTGCGGCTGTATGTCCTGGCTGCAAGTTGAAGGGGTTGTTATCCATTTGTTTTTGTGGTCACTAGTGCGTGGCAAGAAAAAACTAGCATGCATATCGTAGGTTTTGAACGTTGAAGATCCGTTCTGGGCAGTATTGAGTGAAAGTGAAAAGAAACTGCTTGCCTTAGATACTTTGTCGAATGCAAAAAAGGTGAGAGAGCACTTGATAGAATTTTTGAAGGGACACTGACAGGGTATTCATGCTCACCAAGGTTTTTATTTGTACATGATATATAAGACAGCCCAACTACACACAAAAAAAACAATTTGCGGCTCGATATTTGTTTTCTTGCTGGCCAAAAACTGGACGGTTTGAGTCGCGCTCACTCTCTTCTCCAAGGTAATGTGCGGTTCTCTATGTTTTAGACACACACACGAAATATAATCAAAGTCGTGGGTCATCAAAGGCACATACTGTGAAACCCTTTATTTTTGCGGCACCTATTTTTTGCGAATCAGTCAAAGAGAACATAATCGCGGCTATAAAATTTCGCGAATTCCAGGCGCCTGCATTGAAACTCTTTAGAAACAAAATTTTTGCGTGCCCTTTAATTTCACAAATCTTTTAATTTGTGATATTTGCAAAATTTAAGGGCTCGCAAACATTAAGGGTTTTACAAAACTCAATATTAAAAATGAAAAAAAAAATGCAACCCATTTTTTGTGGCTTCTAGAAAGCTGCAAATACGTTCATTGAAATATGCACGAGTATTTAAAGAATTGTGGAGCTCTTCCACTTCACGTGAAGATGGAGGACCAGCGAAACTGTTATCTTTATGACGTCTAGGACAATGTCTAGAGGATGACGTCTGGGACAACTTCTAAACGCCACCTAGAGGACAACCTCAAAGACGACTTCCAGGACGACCTCAAGGACTATGTCTAGGATGACTTCTAAGACGACCTCGAAGACGACCTCAAGGATGACGCCTACGACGACCTCTTGGACGACTTCTAGGACGACGCCTAGAAGACGACCTCTCAAGTGACCTCTAGGACAACCTTGAGAACGACTTCTAGGACGACCTCGAGCACGACTTCTGAGACGACCTCGAGGACGACCTCTGGGACGACTTCTAGGACTACGTCGAGGACGATGCCTCGAGATGATAACAAGGGATCAGGACCTCATTATCTAATAATGCCAAGGAAGGCTTTTTTTCATATTTGCCACGACCACTAGGGAGTTTTTTGTTGACATGTGAGGACATATTTTTCCCCAGACCCTACCGTACAGTAGACTCATTAATTCAAACTCCAGGAAGTCACAGATTTTAGTTTGAATTACCAGAAGTTTAATTATCAGAAATTCATCTAAATATGATACTAGACAACATTATAATTTGTTACATACAAAGCAGATTTTGGCCAGTTTCCTCTACATAGGCCTAATTATAAGCGAGTACAGGCATAACACATTGGTGAAAGAACTGTGACGTTAAGTTTATTTATCCGGCAAAAAAGTTGTCGATTGTGGACTGTTTTGTCAGTACATAAGATCTCAAAACAAAATTTTTAATACCAGCCAACGCAAGTAGCTCTTTATGGCACTCTTCCTTTGCAGACAGAAACTTCCGGAGCTGAGCGATGTGCTCAAGGCCTCTGCGGCTGTGACAGTTAGTAGTGGGTCATCCCTTTCTTCGTCATCTTCACTCTCACTGCTGCACTGTGCTGGCATTACTTCCTTATGTCCTCTCGTGAATCATCACGACAAACACAGACATCGTCGTTAAGACTAGCACATTCCGCCAGCTCGGCGTTCACATTACGTGCTTCAAGGCCAGAAAGCATGATGCCAGTGAGCTGTTCCTCATCCTCGATGTCGTCTTGGTCATCATTGCTAGTCTTGAAGCACATAATGTGAATGCCGTTTACTGCTAATGTGTGCCCGCTTGAGCCCCATTGAGTGCGCTTCTTTCTGAGCACCGGTGCACTGCGGAGAAGCAACACTCGCAAAAACAAGCTCCCGGGTATTGCTTGTCTGCGGTGCACCGGTGCTCGGAAAGAAGCGCACTCAACGGGGCCGCGAGAACAAAAAAGTATGAATTAAGCGAAAACGCCGTTCGTAAATACATTAAAAACATAACGGGACAACCAAACATTTCAAATCTGTATTTGTATCAAATATCTGAGTTTGAATTATTGCGAGCCTACTGTATAACAGCTTCGCTGTAAAAAAGAAGTTGCACAGAGAACCGAAAGCACTCTGCGCATTCTTTGCGTAATTTTTAACATGGCGTCGTATCACGGGTGTCGCGTGCTGGACAACTGAATGAATCAGTGGACTAAGCGTTGGCGCAGTATGAGTGGGTGTGGGAACTCTACTTCAGAACTGCTGTTCGCAGTACCGGCGAATCTGTCTAGCTTTGAATGAGAAATTGTGCACCGATCAAAGCAATTAGGATTTATTCCGTACGACACGCTCAACCACCAATCTGATTCGCACGAAAACGTTGCTGAGTTGTCGCCCTTACCCCTGGCTAAAGACATAGTTTGTCTTACGAATATGAATTGGCAAGAGCTTGAAAAATGAGCAAATGCCTAGTGCAAAGTGCTTAACTTTTGGGCTTTTGTGCGACTTGCACAGTTTTCGTCCGCTTCGTATAACCATAAAAAAAAAAAAAATTAGGTCGGGTGTAGTTATGTGGTTTCTGGCAACTCTCTCCTCCTCTACATTTCCTTTCTCCCCAGTTCAGTTTCGGCTTCGAGCAGTTGCGTTTTGTGCAGTTGCATTCGAGCAGTTGCTATTGAAATGCGATGTAATTTGACATGCTGCAAAGTAATTGCGAATGTATAAAAGACTTCTTCAACCACGCACCTTTTCTCTGGAGGCATTGCAACATTTTCTCTTAAATGCCTGCCATGCATACAATCTAACTATGTACGAAATGTCTCTGTGCCTACTAGATAACACGCAGGTCCTATCCTACCTTGCAGCCCCCACAGAGAAGGGAGTGTTAGCTTGCTGCTACCCACCCCTAAACTGCAGTGCTACACCAATTGTCGCAAATATTGCGATGTCAAACCACAGACGAGAGTGTCAGCAACTCAGCTGCACTAAGTTGCTGACACTCCCCAAAGCCTTGCTTGCTAGGGCATTACCAACGCATGTCAGGAAGGTTTGTGGAGGGTTCCTACATAAAACTATTGCCTTAGTATCATTCCGCGAGATTTTACAACCCTCCCCTTCTTTCAAGGTCTGCCAGGAAGATAACCCCCCTTCTCCTACTGACAATCTTCAGTCCTATACCTTGTACAGCTGCGTCTCCACGTCCCCCTGCACGTTCTGCTCCTGGTGTGTGAGGGCGTACTTGGAGGCGCCTTTGGTGACGTCCTTCACTCCTAACTTGCCCACAGACTTCCTCTTTTTCATCACCGGTTGCATCACCGTGCCTGGGACAGAGACATCGAGGGGCACCGTCAGAAACTCCATAGATTTCGTTTCACAGACACTGCACAAAGTACCACCTTAAAGTTGGATTTACACACTCCAGTGTTGTGCCTGTTATCAAAAATGAGTAACAAGAGAGCGTTACTCATTAGTCCAGTGGTTGTCAAAAGGAGGTCCCTGAAGCCCTAGACCACGGGTTGGCCACCCACGGCCCGCAGAGTAGTTTCATGCTACCCCTGGCACGATCCCACAAAAGAATTACCCCCTCTGCCACCTTCTTACACAAACTCGGGGACCATAAAACAGCACCTTCTTACACAGACAGGACCACACAACTTCAAATGGGGTTAGGCAGGAACAAAGAGGCACTTCCAATTGGCATTGTTTGGCATCCATGTTTGCCCAGGTGCCCTTTGGCGTGGCTTGAAAGATGATGACATCGGCTCGCTCCATGGGACAGTTATGCTTTTGCATTAAAAGAGCAGAAAACAAATGGCTCCTAAACTGTCGTGTGCGGCTCTTGAGGACCACCCTTCCCCCCTCCGCCTGGTCTTCCAAGAAACCAACCCGCACTCTTTCTTTTTAATTCTCATACGAAATTTTAAGTACCTGGGGAAGTCCGTTTGCGCACCCACCCCGCAGACGCAGAAAAGTCACTGATGGGACCTCGCCCTCGCTCAGCCTTGACGATGCTGTAAAAGCTGAACACTGGCTGGACCAACCAGCGATGTGCCTTCTGCCAGGTGACTCCGCACTGGCGGGTGCATGTAGGCAGAAAAGTCAGGGGCATGTTGGCAGCAGTTTATTGGAACAGAAAAAAACGTAGCATCAACCCTGCTGTTAGTTTAAACGAAGGTCAGTGGCAAACACCAAGTACTGTCACTTTGGATAGCAGGCAATGAGCTGGCAGGGGAGCAAAGCCGAAATGGCCTCAGACTTAGAAGCTGCACCCTATAGACCCTTTACACAAGCGCCAGATTACAGCTGCCATTGCTGACTCTCTCTTGTCTTACCGAGATGCCGAGTCACTGAAATGGGCATTGACGAGCTTCCACAAAGGCCAATGCTGGGGAGGACACAGTAGAATTTAAAATGGCACTAACCTGGCCTGCTATGGTACTAATGGTGAAGCCAAGTAAACAGAATAAGAGAAAACAAAAACTGAAGGTCGGTAACGGCGGCAATCGTGGACAGCTGCTGCAAAGCGTCTATTTATTAGAATCGAGAATGCTGGAGTCCAAAATTTTAGGGAAAGAGAAGACGCTCCAAGTTTTCCAAGAATAAGCAGAGACTGACATGGATACTGAGACTGAGACAGCTTAGGATGCCTGTAAATGTGTGAAAGACGTGGAAGCTTGCCAGTAACTGACAATTACGATTTCTAAATGGCCTAATCAATTCAGTTTCAAGTTTCTTCGTAAATAATTTGTGTGAAGTGTTTGTGCTAATAAGTTTGGTGAGCAAGAATGTCGATCAAGTGGGTCAAACCATGCACTGATGAGGAGATTGGGCAAATGAGCAGCACATACCAGTCTGTACGCTCCCAGAAGGCTTGTGGTCCACCCACGTCTCCCCACCATACGACTTGGAACGTCGTCGACGCATGCTGGGTGTTCCAACCCTCTGAAAAAATTAGAATTTTCTTACCATAATATAAACTGCCAAAAAAAAATCACAATGGATTTGATTTCAGCACCAAAATCATGATGTCCCATTAGATTAAAGAGCACTAAATAGGATTTTGTGATCGTCTTTTTATGCCACAAACTCAATCTATGCACCCTAAGCATTATAAAAACCCAAAGTTACAAGCACACATTCTGTTAGCTTTTGTTGTGATATGTCTCTTGCATGCATGCTGCTCTCAGTCTTTTCAATGAGTGGCCAGCATGTCTTATAATGGCACGGTGACAAGTGTGGGTAACTACTGTGGGACAAGAAACATTATGTGCAAAAGCAATACACAAGTTGAAGGCAGGCACCGAAAGTTTAAGGAAAATTACATTTTCAACATTGCATACTTTGGCGGAGATCTTATTTCCCCCGTCTCGACCGGTTTTATTAAATGCGACGGCTTCTTTGGAGCTACCCAGCCATGAAATAGTGCACGTTTGTCCGTCGCAGCTCGATGCCTAAATTCAGTGGAAAAAATTCCATGCTAAATTTAGCGAGAAAACCTCAACTGGTGTACTGTTGCGACCGTTTACAGAGAAGTCAGTTATAATGAAGTAGCGGCTATAGAGATGCAATCACGATTTCCCAATCCCGTTTGCACTTTTTCAATGTATTTTTGTGTTTTTAACCAAGAAAATTGAGCGGCTCTCGCAAATATAGCAAAAAAAAATTGTGAAAATTTTTAAAAATAATAAAATTTAGAAAGTTTACTAAGTTGCTGACCACCGCACTTTGCCGCCGTGGTTGAGCAGCCACCCAAAATATGCTGCAGACATGCTGTAAAGGCTGCCGGCAGCAGCCTCTGCATTGCCGTCTGCTCCCCGCTCCTTATCTCGAAAGCGGCTTTAAAGCATCGCTCGCGGAGAAGCCGTCGCGGCGTGCCGATGTTCAGAGCGCTAGCGACAACATACCGACGAAGACGATGGAGAGAGCCTAGATTTAAACGAGGGAGCAACCATAACCATAGAGAGCATCTGCAATTAAATGGCGGATGCCTCCTGGGCCGATTGGCGCATCACTTGGTTGTCTTTTGGCCAGCATGGCAAGGAAACCGGGCGGAGAGGTTGCAGGCAGTGAACGCCTTCGATCGCTTGCAGTCCACAGCTTATTGTGCAAATGCGGCTTACACCCACGTGATCCCAACAGAGGAGTTGCCCCCTCTCTCAAACCAAAGCTCTCTAAGCCGACGAAACATGAACTTGAGCTTGAGCCTGAACTCGGTGCCGTGCACGCTTCTTTGTTTGCTTCGTGTTCCGTGTCGGTGGAGCTATACTGTGTTCACTCTTCAGCTGAGACTAGGAGCTTCGCCTTCAGCGCAAGCTTTCTGCCCTTGCTAACACAAGTGTGAACGCGCAGGCACGTGCAACCAAAGCGCTGCGGAAGCCAGCGAGCTCACGCTGAAGTAGCTTCTAATCTCAGCTTAAGAGTGAATGGAGTATAGTCGGTGTGGTCGCTCTTTGCGAGAAAATCCAGCGGCCTAGTTTTGCTCCGGGACCGATTCGGAAACTCATTGCCACTCAATGATGGCGAGTCCCAGCACCTTGTCGGGGAAGTCGAAGGAGATCTCTTAAACAAAAGCGTGCCGAGATTCTAGACAAAGTGCGCATACATAAACGTAAAGAATGCCTTCTGTCGTCGGCACCCTCCGTGGCAGCCGCTGCAGCGGTTGACACGGTACGTATGTAGCTCGCAGCATCTTTTTTAAATTCGAGCTACTTGCTGTTGGCAAGAAGCTGCTTCGATCTAGCAGAAACCTCGGGCAGGGAAGCCTCGACCGCTTTCTGTAGGCACGATAAACATGTGCTCGTAAAGGCCCGTGTTACCTTTTTTTCTTTTTTGTCTTACTTTTATGGAATCCAGATATAAAGAAGGAGCGGATGTAGCGAAGTGATTTCAAATTTTCATTGACTTCGTTATAACTGGTCTCGACAGTATAAGTGATACAGTGTCAGACCGCAGATCTGCATTACAAGATGTGATTATACAAGACACTATGACATCATGTAAGTAGACTCACAATTCAAACTAATTCTTCATACTACTCGTCAATTCAAAACAATTAAAATATTTTGGCTGCCTTGCTATGTTTTCAATCTGTTTTAAGCTTGGAGCTTTTTTTCTTATTTTATGCCAAACTCAATGAAATTGCACATGCTTGTTCAGCTTTTTGTGCTGATTTCATATATCTGGTAATTTCCTCAGTCAGTAGAATTTTCCTGAAGATAATTAAAACTTGCCTGCCTTTGTTTGGAGGAATGATACAGAAAAAGCTGCTCGACAAAATATCCTTTTTAAACACATGGCCAGATACTATGAAGTGTAAAGAATACAATGTTGGAAGTACTTTTAAGACAAACCAATTATTAGTGATTTCAGTGCTCAATGCATGGCTAACCAGTAATAAAACAAAAGATCAAATAAAAGATTTTCTAGACTTGTATTAAAAAATCTGCTCTTAACATTGTATGCTTCACACATTTAGCAACAGATTTCAAGAAAGATTATATTTCTGACTGCTTCAGATGCTGAAATATCCTTTCTGCAAATTTTCAATGAGTCCGAAAATTGTGTTATGTGAAAACAATGTTTTAGAGTCAACTTTAATGCACATTCAGCCCGTACAGACATTCTCAACTGATTTATAGCTCAAATATTCATCCACGAAATTAGAAGCCTGGTAGATTCAGAAGAACAGCAGCCATCGCCGTTTTCAAAAGAATGCAGTTTTAGGAAGTTTTTGGCTCCAAAGACCCATGTTCCCCCTTAAAGGGGTACACTCCACCGATTTTGGTACACTCCACCGATTTTTTGAGCTACCTCAACTAACTATATTATCTGACTCCCCGGCCTTTAGCCTTTCCGGTATGCTATTTAGCATCGCGAAATTCATAATAGGTATTGTGAAATCGGCAAATGAAAATGGTGCAAAAACTAACATTCAAATATTCACACACTTTTCAGTGCCGTGACGCCAGTGGCAGGCAGGCTTGCCAGTCGAGCAAGTAGTCTAAAAATAGAATATGCCAATCATTTGTTACGTGCTGGAGCGCGGATACGGGAGCGAGCTTCCAAAGCACTCATTTGACACCAAGAAACTGCTTCAAATCCGTTGGGAACAACTTCTGTAGTCCAAAAAGTCAACTGCTGCCTTCCACTAACGTCACTTTGTTGTTGTTGCCAGTAGAGACTTTCAGTTTGAAAAACATGGTGAAGACCAAAACTGTAAATTCAATATCCTCACGAAAAAACAATGTTTTGACCTAATATTTGGGATACTATTTTAGCAATGTTTGTTGGTTAGTTTAGCAAAATTTCAAGCAAATCGGAGACAATGAAAAAAACGGTGGAGTACCCCTTTAAGTGTAATTCATATTTTTTGTACTCGCAGCCCCATTGAAAGCGTTTCTTACAGAAGCGAGCTCATCGGTGCTAATACAGTGCAATCCACTTATAACAATATTAGAAAACCCGAAAATGCAATCATTATAACAGATTATAGTTGTATCTAAACTAGAAACTGATCATTTCTATTTTAAAAACTCTATAAACTGATAGTTATGAGTGGTATATCGTTATATCTGATATCACTTTAAGTGGATTGTACTGTTGTCCGCAATAAACAAATTTTTTGCCGGATGAACAAACTTAATTTTGTTTGAAGTTTCATGTGCTGTCTAAACAGTCCATGATGGACAACATTTTTGAAGGAAAAAGACACTTATCTCATAGATTTTACCAATGTCTGAAGTGTGGCATACCTGCTTATGATTAGTAGCAGAGCTAGAGAAAATCATCGAATATCTGCTTTCTATGCATAGCCATCCATATAACAAATCAATTTTATCTTGCATCATATTTAGATGAATTTCTGATAATTCAAACAAAATTTGTGGCTTCCTAGAGTTTGAATCAACGAACATCTACTGTTCTGTAGCCTTGCGATAATTCAAACTCTGATATTTCATACTTCTGGTTAATACAAACAAATTTCAAAATTTTAGTTGGCCCGCCATGTTTTTAATGTATTCATAAGCACTTAATTCGAATGTCGTTTCCGTGTAATTTGTACTTTTTGTTCTTGCGGCCCCCGTTAAGTGCACTCTCTTTCCGAGCATCGGTTCTCTGCAGAAAGGCAACCCTTGCAGAGCTTGCTTCTGCAGGTGTTGATTCTCTGCAATGCACCAGTGCTCGTTGAGAACTGCACTCAACGTGACTTAGGCAGGGCACCATGAATGATGAAAACAAGCACTGCGCAGAAAGTTCCGTAGCAACTTGCAGGGACGTTGCGACATGGTGGCATGGCATAGGTCCACGTCATAGTGACCGTGCAAGTTTCTATGAAAACTGCCGCACGATGCCCGTTTTCATTGCTCATGTGCCCCCTGCTTAATAGTTCACATTAGACAACTTTTTGGCCCGATGAACAAACTTAATTTTGCTTTGAGTTGTCATGTGCCGTCTAAGCAGTAAACGATAAACATTTTAGAAAAATAAATACACTTCTCATAGATTTCTAGAACGTTTCATATGTGACACACCGACTCATGATCAGTAGGCCTATGTAGAGGACATCATCAAATATACGTTCTGTGTGTGTAGCCATTCATATAGAAAATCATAATTTTGTCTTGCATCATATTTAGATGAATTTCTGATAATTCAAACAAAATTCACGACTTTCTTGAGTTAGAATTAATGAGAGTTTACTCTATGTGACTATGCGTCTTGTGACACTGAGTCACATCCGCTGACTCCACATGACGGTAGAATCACATGAAGGCATGCCATGATGGGTAGAAACCCGGGGCAGGAGAGAGAGAGAAAGGACATGTTTACTATATATGATAGGATTCCCGTCTATGAGTGGTGTTCTCTGAGACGAGGGGGTGGGAGTGGAGGGTTATAAGGAGGGGATGTCGGTGACTATGGTGCTATTGAATGAATTTATGAGCCCCAGATTCCCTGATGAATTCAACCAGGGAGTCTAGGATCGCCTTTCGGTGCTGCTCCTGGCCTCTAGGGTGAGTCCAGTCGCTAAGCCTCCTTGGTTGATCTTGAGCGGGTAATTTTTTCCACGCCGTATTTCTGTGGTCTTCCAGGCCTTTACACCCCCACAGTAAGTGCTTGATACCGGGGCAGGAGGAAGAATGCCTTGATGTATCCCATATACGCATTTTATCTCCTTCAGCAAGAATAACAAAGAAGTTTTTTTCCTTTATCCTTTCCTTAAGAGCACTTCAACATGAGCAAACTAGCTTTAAATAGCTTGCCACACTGCCTGCCTGCAGCCCATTGGCTAGTTGCTTTCTTCTCACCATTGGCTGCTCGAACAATCATCAATAATGTCATGCATTCAAACAGAGAATCTGCTACAACGCCCTATAAAATAGGAATCTAAAAAAATATAATTTTTCTTGAGTGTTATGTTCTTAAAGAGACCAGTTTCCTCATAAATTTAGATGCAATCTAAAAATGACTGCAGGATCCCTTTAATGAATACGTTGAAGCATTTCACGAGAGAAGTTAACAAAGCAATATCTGCTGCTTTTCCAATATATAGTCAAATACATACTTTCAGATTTTCAGTCGGGAGCACTGGGTAAAGCTTCGGCTCTGAAGAGGTTGTGGCCATGCCAGAGGCACCACCGGAGTTCCCTGCAAATGTGACGCAGATCAAGGTTAACGAATCAATGCCTTATTTTGATGCATTTCTCTGTATCACTACAAATACCACATAAGGGGCAACAGATACTACTGAAAGTGCCGAAGCATGCACGGACCTCTAGCATGACTAGAAGAGCAGTAGTTATTAGGCTTGCAAGCTTCTGACCTGATACAAAAAAAGCACGGTGGAGTGATGCACTAGCACCGTAAATTACTTCTAAATGAACATGCAGTATACTGCTTGGTCTCAAAACAACCATCCCCACCCCTGCCCTTTTCAATCTGGATGAGAATCGTACCGGAGTGCGGTTGTGTATCACTACTGCATGGTGCACGTTGAAGACCCCAGGTTAGCAGTTGTACCACACTGGCTAAATTCCTCAGCTACTACAGCTGAGAGACAAGTTGCGGCAGACTAAGCTCAAGCTGTATAAACATACCCGCAACAAAATTTTTTTCTCTTCCAAACCACCAGTTAATATTGTGAGGTTCATTCCTTAATTAGGAATATGAGCCAGGTAGTTTACCGGATATCATATTTAAATGCAATCTTCATAGTGCATGCTCAGAACGAGCCCACACATAGAGGCTGCCAAGGCTGGCAGTCTTGGTGGTGTGGATTGTATGCTGCCAAAGCACTATGGTAGCTTGCTATCAGCTTGTGCTCAGCAGCTACGGACTTGGCTACAGCAACTAGTATAGGCGCCGACAGAGTGAAAATGGCAAAGTGTGTTTCCCGAATGCCCAAACTCCAGCACGCCCTCCATGTATTCCGCTGCACTCTGCCTACGCACACGTGCATGGGGTGCACAAGGTGCTGAAGCCTCGTTGAGGGTGGGAAACTTGCACTGAAGGTGGGACAACTGGAGACCCACCCTGCAGTATTCATCTTGTCAGTGACTATAGTGAATTTACCTGTAAATAGTCGGGATACTTAATCTACTGCAGAAGGACATCGTATATTACCGAGTTTGAGCTCTTTTCCAATAGTGCCTCACACTGAAGTGACGCAGCAAAACAAATATTCGCCAAAAAGGCAATGTCACTGACCAGGGTGAGTGGCAGGGTTAGTAGCATGGTTCGAGTTTAAAAATAATATATATAAAAAACTTAAAATTAAAGCTAATTTGATGACAATTTTGAGATTTATTGCGCTTTTCCAAAGGTTGGATGTACAAAAGTGTGTGTTGAAAAGGTAAGGACAGCTACAGCAACAGAAGGAGGTTTCAGGCAAATGCCCCTCATAGGGTGAGAAGTGGAAAGCATTGGTTTGCTCTGCCATGTATACCTCATTTCCATCCTCTCATCAAAAGTCTCAAACTTGAAGTTACAAAAAGACAATGCAATCCACAACATAATGCTTGTAATAGTAGGCATATAAAAGTCTATCTGCTGTAACACATGTGACATCAATTGGATCATATGACATTTAAAGCCCTCTCTTTTACCATGCACCCCATCACACTGAACCTAATTCAATCCGCACTATCATACAATTCCAAAAAAATGCAATATTGAAAATCAGTACTTTTGTCCAGGGTTCCGAGTTTTCGGAAAACTCCAAAAAACGCTCGCAGGTAAAAATACTGGGGATTGCAATATATCCCATAAACTTCGAATTTAGGGAATGACATTTGCAAAAACTAAACTGGTCTTTATCTTATCCTAAAACAACTTGCCAACTTTTTTCTTTTATTTTTCAGTTGAAATCTGTGAATACCAGAAAAAGGAGCCAACCTTCCTATGAGAATAGTTGAACTCATTTTGTTTTTTCTGCCGGACCACTTAGAGCCTTCCACCTGAACATACCTCTTTCCTAGACATTAATTTGCCTTTCTCCGGTGTCCTTTCGTTTAAAATTAAGCTCATTTGGCATCACAGTTGACGGCCAGGGTTCGAGAGATTCTGACTTTTCAGTACCTCCATGAAATACGCAAGAAGGAAATGAACCACGGCAGCTGCACCAAAAAAGATTTTGAGGCGAGTAGCAGCGACCGCATTCAGGTCCACAAGCTTTGCCGCATACAAGTTAGCATGGTCAATAGAAAGGGTGCCTTCCACATCCCCGAGTATAGGAATTCTAACTGGTACAGCAACCTCAAGAGAGGTAGTCTCAAGCCAGAAAAGTATGTTGAACTGTATGGTATGCCCATTTCTGACAAATTAATTTATTTCATTAAAGGCTCACCTCTTATTGCACTGTCTATGAAAAGAATGCTTCACTAAACTTGCAAACTGCAGTTCTCTACCTAGGCTAATGATGCTAAACATCCGAAAAACTTTGAATTTTGTGTACGATAAACAAAAGCAAGTTTCAAAACACACAAAAACATGTATATGCAGTCAGACAGTTTATGCCATATTCAGTCATTTGGAAACAGGCAGCAAGTCTAATTATAAACGGTAAAACACCCCAAAAGTTAAAAAAAAGGCTTTTCATGTAATTAGCTTTAATACGCCTTCCCTGTGAAATAACACAGCTTTCCTTATTACAAGCAGTTTTCAAGCTCAGAGTATCTACAGCAGTGTATACAGGGTCATGCCATATACTCAGGAAAACACACAGAGGCAAAGATGAAATGAATATCGACCATATTCTGGGCTCTGCTCGGTCTGCCATAATGTCTTCCTGGCTGACATTATCTGAACGTCTTGGCAATGCTGAAAACTTGCACCTCCTTGTTGCCATACCACGCGAAGATTTGCTAGACGACTTTCCGGCGCGAAGCAATTCGAGTATTGCTGCCCTCCAGTCGTACTCCCTGCCCATTTTTGAGCAAGTAGCAAATTGTTTATCATGCAATGGTCCACTGTCGAATCATGTAGCTTCAGAAGCACAATATGGCTGGGTAGCTTCACTATATTGTTGAGAGATGAAATCTGGAGAAGTCCGGAAACACTAATAACAGATCAAATAAAATATTCCGTGTTAATTAAAAAAACAAAACAAAAAAAACCTTATTAAGAAACAAACAAAAGAAGTATACAGAAACGCATATGGCGTCCGATAGCAACGGAAGTTTGGTCTCCTTCCTACATTATCACAACTCCATGGCACCCAGCAACACACTGGTGAATTCATTGCAAACAAGCTATGTTCCAATTTTCAGGATGTATACTAATTCCATTAATTATAATTAAACACAGCTGGCATGCATACAACAAACTGTTCAATCAGATGGTTCCTCAGCCTTAAAGAAGCACTAAAGTAGATTTCAACATTGTTTTCTTATGGCAAGAGCTCAAACTCCCCACCCTAAGCTTCAAAGAAAACAAAAAATGTGACCAAACATTATGACACACCTTTTTTCCCTAAGCCACCTAAAAAAACGAAATTGAAATCGTGCATAAACTCTATCCCGGATAAAAAAAAAAAGCTACCAAACATCCTAACAAGCCACCCTTTCCCGAGACCTACATTAAGGGGGGACACTGGCTAGAGGTCGAACTTTTGGACTACTCAAGTGATCGGAATGAAATTTGCTGGGGAGATTTAGCTTCAGATGTAGGTGTACTGTGCAAACTTTCAGCTCTCTAGGACAAATTTACATACCTGCATAAGATGATGTGTCACTTTTCATTAAGAAATCTATGATATGCAAATGAAGGCATTAAGCATCATTTTGACTGCTTAAATATAAAGTGGGGGATATCAGACTATGGGCTATCTAGTTTTAACAACTTAAATGTAAATATTTCAGGAAGAGTTATTACCTCAAACTATGAGATGCATATCTGTCCTCTGCCAATTTCTGAAAACTTAGTTTTTTATCACTGAGGACTTCAACTTAAAACAAAATAAAGTAGATAGCCTGATTTCCCAGTAAATTTCCGTTCAGAAACATCTTGATTGTGGTATCAGAATACTTTTACCTTCGTACAAAAGATTTCTTCGTACGAAATTTGCAACAAAAAGTGGAACTGAGAAAAATGCATTCACACATTGAACTCCTTTACTTTGATACTGCCTCACAATGTGTTAAAAATATTTTATATCAACATAACTATTTGGCGTATGGTTATCAAATTTGGTGTAAGGGTGTATAATTAGTTTTTAAAACTGAAAACCTCAAAATTAAAAACAAATTTAAAAAAAAAAATTAAAATTTAGGTTGATGTTTTCCCTTAAAAAAAAAAAGGAAGCATGTTGTAGTACTTGGTTGCACTTTTTTTTTTATAAAGAAAGGCCATGCATGATTGTAGTTTCAGAATTTCTGCAAAGCCCAGAGAACATAACAAAGCGTGAGTCATAATAATTCAATCTCAAAAATCCACTTTACAGCCTCTTTAACAAAGCAACAACTGATGCGCAAATTCAGAAATAAAAAGCAGTCCATAAAAAGGCCATTTGTCAATGCAGCAAAACTAGAGGCAAAAAGCTCCCACTACACGCTCAAACACAGTGCATCTCAGTATCAAGAGTTGATAGACCAGCCAACACGCTATCCTAAAACACACTTTTTGTTTACAAGCGGGATCACAGCGTGAACATGCAGCGAAGCAGGCAGGCATGCCGGCAAGTGTGCAGCACAGAGAATCATTGTCACGACTCACTGGCGCGCGTCCTGGTCACGCGTCCTTCCAGCGGCGCCCCGTCCCCCCAGGGCCGGGTGAGCACCTCCCAGTCGGCCGAGTTGATCATGTCCCGGAGGATGCGGAACTTCTCGTGGTTCACGCTCATCTTGGCCTCCAGCTCTTCCTGCTTTTCTGCCAGCAGCTGGTCCTGGTCATGGGGAGAGCAAAGCCGGTCGGTAACGGTATTGCAGAGGTGGGCGAATGTTCAAAACATAAAATCCTTCGCAAATAGTGTTTGCTTTTCGATTCAATTTGAAGCACGCTTCTGATGTTAAAAGTACAGCATTTTCCAGACCGTAGTCTAGAACCAGCACGCTGTCTGCACGTAAGCACATCTTGAGAAATGCATAATCTGTTTAACATAAACCCCTCAAGTCTTGTCATGATGAACAATCTAGGAAAAAAATGACCGCATCTCCACGTGGTGAAGGAGGTTGATTGGGGCGAAGCTCTGGTGATGCTGATGATGTTCGTTTTCATCCATGTCAGAAAGAGAATGTGTGGTATGGAACGTGGTTATATACGCATTTGAGCATTGGACCGCAGCGCCCTCTCGTCTATAAACGTTGAGCCAATGCATGTAAAATTTAACGCGACTATATACGCATTTGATCGCAGCGCCCTCTCCTGTATAGACATTGAGCGGGTACATGCAACGTTTCATCCATGACATCCCCAGCTCTTGAGTTACTACCACATCTCAGAGCCCCCTACTCGTCCCGCAGTCACGGCCAAGTGGTTAAGGCGATGGATTAGAAATCCATTGGTGTCTCCCCGCACAGGTTCAAATCCTGTCACCTGCGCAAACATTTTTTCTTTTTTTAAGAAGACAGATGGGGAGGCAATCGATGTGAGCACGGACGCCGGAGGGACAAGGCTAGACCCTAAGGAGCTTCGCTCCTAAAACGATTCCCGTGTGGCAGTTGTGTCACGGAGACGACGAAGAGGTCGGCAAGCGCGAGCATCGAGCTCGGGACACGTGCGGCAGATGTTTCACGAGACGCAAACGAAACGGCTCGGCGGCGGCATCGGGCGATGCGGACTACAGTTTCTTTCTGCATGTAAATACTCGTAAATATATTTCAGTGATGTGATTGGCCTAAGCCGTTTTGGAGCACCTTTAGGAGCAGCCAAAACAATGTTTTGGAGCAGCAAAAGTGGCTTTTGGAGCAGATATTCTTAGAACAATACAAATATTAATTTCAAGTGCTGGGCAAACGAACGGCACTTTGCTCGCCGCAATAAACAAATTATAGTCAAGTTAGACCACCTGGGAGTCTTTCAACATGTAACTGAAATGCCTATGACAGGACACAATTTGCAATTCTTCAGTTATATGGTACATATATATGTACCCGGTATATGTAAATAAGAACCAAACTGCACATATTAAAAATGATTTGAAAAGGACCAGCTTATTAGTAGATAGCACAGCATTAGGTGTACTAGCTCTTTAATAAATGGAAGCAGTCTCCAACTGATGAAACACGTAACTACTGCAGCCCAGTATGAAATTGTTGTGCGAGTGGAGATGGTTGTTGGATCTAAACCATGCCACTCCACTCCGTCGCCAACTGGTTCCCAAAATTGTATGCAACATGTAACTGTCCAGCATACGACAAAAAACAGTCCAGCGACATGTGCTTGCCAGGCCGGCAGGCGATGTACAAGCTAAACACACAGAAAAGAAAAAACCTGAGCACATTGATGCAAGACATCTCGAGCCAGGGTCAAAAAGTTCTTGGAGCGCTTTGCGCAACGACTGAACTCGAGACAACAAGCGTGCTGTGTGGCTTCAGCGTGCAGACATTGCCTTCTCTGCTTTAGCTCACTTCTCTTCACCAACTTTATTTCGCGGCAGATTTTTCTTGTACCAGGGTCCCTCTCGATAGCTGATCAATACTTCGACACTGCAGTCTTTGAGCTAGGGTGATTTTTGTAGTAGTATATTAAACAAGAACAGGAATGTTATGAACATGCGGCGGTCTTTGCGTTTCAGTCTAGGAAGCGCCATATCTGCAGCAACGTGGGGATGGCAACACCCGACGTCGCGCGACCACGGTGACTGGCAGGCAGGCACCAACTATAATTTTCCCACGGCCGTTGCTTTCAGGAGCGAGTGCTTCAGCTCACAAAGTAACTCCCGCCACGCAAAATTGGGACTTCGTTTCACAGCATGACGGACCCAGAACGCTAGCATCAGAGCGTCCGCACATGCCCGCGTCTATCGTTGAAATTTTTTTAAAAAGGCGTGAGACAACGAGAGTGTGAAACAAGACACGGCGGGAAAAGCCATGCAAGGCCGGATGAACGATTGATGCAGGGTACTTTGTGTCGGGCAGAGCCGTATATTGGGAGTTTGGCCAGTGGGTGTGGCGACAAAGGCGCCGGAGAGGAGAAAAGTAAATGAAAGGGAGGAGAGCGCCGGAAGGAGCGAGCGAGAAAGAAGGGAGCAGGGAGGAGACGACCGCCATTTTTAGCAACGCTGTCGGAGACTGGTCGGAGAAGAGCACTGCTGAGGCTACGCGTTGTCTGCTACAGGCCGACTTCTTTTTCGCCTGAATAAAAGTTTGTGGTCATACGTCGGAAAATCTTCGTTTATTAGCTTTTTAACCCACCGAGAAATAACAGAATATCATTTTCTTGCCAGAGCCAGCGATATAAAAGGCAATAATCGAGAATTAGATGCCGATCCCACGCATTCCACCGGGAAAATGATCGAAGATGGCGGCCCTCCCCACTCTGGTGGGAGCAGCCGGGAGTTCACGCGCATGCGCTCATGCCTCTCGCTCTAAGCCGCGTGCTGATTGGCTCACTCGGGAGGAGAGCGTTACGGCGGCGAGATCATAGACTGACCAAACTCTCCCCATATACGGCTCTGGTGTCGGGCGGCCGCTTGCGCCACCTAACTCATGCATGCTCAATTACGTGTTTAGTTTCGGTTTTGAAAGGCAACCGAAATTGGTCCTTTGGTGCAGGCTTGGCACAGATTACCCATATTTTGGCAAAATGTAGCAGGATGTAGCAGGGTTAGCCCCTCGGCGCAGTTTGGCACAATTGGCGCAGCAATCACATCGTTGATATTTATGTGTGAAACCCTATTTCTGGTCTCCACACCCGTATAGTGCGAACCTGCAGTTGCGCACTATAGTACTGCTTGCCACGTTAGATTATGTTATATCTAAGTCATCGTATCAGATTTTTTTTATTGGGTGCGAGTACCGATGTAGAGTATTACTATGCCATAAAACAATTTCTTTTCGGAGGTTTGTTGAAATAGAATTCCAGCTGCAGTCAATAAAGTATTCACGGTCAGTTTACATTAAAGGGATGCTGAACCAAACATTTCAGTGTATATAATAAGTGGAGCACTATATTTCCATGAGTCAGCAGCTGCCGGTGTGTGCAAGCACACCCAACGAAATTGACATAATATCCCCCATTCAAGCTTACTAAGTGCGAATGGTGGATATGATGACGTCAATTTCGTTGCGTGTGTTTGCGCACACCGGTGGCTGCTGACTCATGGAATGATAGTGCTCCACTTAATATAGACACTGAAATGTTTGGTTCAGCATCCCTTTAAAAGTGAAAGATCTGTATTCTAAAATATTCTGATCTGCAGCAAATTTTTAAGATTTATATTCAATTTGTATTTAGATTGTAGTTGACAGTTGCACACCTCTACATTATTATCACCAACGTAAAGTAGTGAAGGTGCTTCAATTCGAAGTTTGGCAAACATTGAGTGAAACAAGGGCAAGCCCCTGTTCGGTTGGGATGCCAAAAAAAGGAACAAGACGTCCGATAACGAAGCTCTCGGTAAACAGCAAAAACATGATCTGCAATACAACACAAACTCAGTACAACAGGCCTTAAAAGCGATAAAGATTTCGGTCTGTTATAAAAAGAGTATGCAGAACGCAGATATACTTCACTAGAGACTTTGAGGTGAATTATGACCAGAGTTTGTTCTCACCAGTGAGACTGACAAAATGGGAATGGATATTAAAAAAGAACTGGTTTATTGAAACTTCTGAACTGTGAAACAAGGTATACTAGTAATTTTCTATTGAACTGCACCGATGGCCGTCGTCACTGCACACTTGGGGTCACACGAGCCTGATGAAGCGCCGAGTGCAATGACAGCAGTTCACAAAATGGATGCCACCGCCACCGAATGAAAGCTGCGTAATGTCCAAAATAATGACTGCAGCCGAAGAGTCCTCCAATGGAATGGTCAACTACTTACAAACTCCCCAATATAGTCCCTTATATCCAAATGTATGTTATACTAGCAGAATCTGTAATTGAGCGAAACTTGTTCAATGGCATAGAAGGGACCTACTAAAGCTCCACAAATCATTGTTATAAATAAATGTCTGCTGTAACAAGGTTATATTGTATATATATATGTACAAGCTTTGTAATCCCACAGAAAGCTTTTCATGAAACAAATTGAACAACCATGGGCAGCATCTGTTTTCTTAAATTATTAACAGTAAACTTCCATTAATTCGACCTCGACGAGACCTTGAAATTTGGTCGAATTATCCGAATAATTGAATTAAAAAAAGGGCAGAAAAACGGCTAAAATTGAACTTCCTTTTATTGTCCAAAGTGCTCATGCGTGGTCTGCTGCCGTTTCTGCATAAATGTGTGTCCAAAAGCATGCTCCGGAGAGCACAAAAACTAAACCAACACGTGCTTAAAAAATTGTGCACTAGAAAAAAAAAAAAAAAAGAAGAAGAAAGCTTTACAAGTTGATTTTGGCGCTGGGCAGTCAGACCGTCGGCGAATGAAAAAAATAACAACAAAAAAAGAAAGGAAAAGAGCACCTGCACTTTCCGGCACGCAAGGTAGCACACTATGCTACTGTAGCACGCTATGCTACAAAAAAGCGCTTTGAGAGCATGCGCTGAGAAACCTTTAAGAATCGACTTCAGCGCCGGGCGGCCAGACCGTCGGCGACAGAAAAAAATAACAACAGAAAAGAAAAGGAAAAGAGAACCCGCGCTTTCTGGCGCGCAAGATGGACTGCACACAATGCTACAGAAAAGCACTTCGAGAGCACGTGCTGTCTCTGCGCCCAACCACGTGCTATGTTCTCCGCACTACTCCACGCCAGATTGGTTGCGCTGGCGCATG